CACAACATCTTTGTATGTGGTGCTGAGGATCGAACCCGGGCCGCACGCATGCCAGGCGAGCGTGCTACCGCTTGAGCCACATCCCCAGCCCTGTGCCCAAACTCTTTAGCTTGGTCCTGGTGTGCTTTATCCAACCTAGTCTCCAATCTACACCTAAACTCAGGGTTCAGAGACCACTGCTTTCCCCCAAGTTCCACTACCTTCCCACTCTCAAACTCCACAAGACTCCTTGGGATCCCTCCCTGCCCTCCCACCCCTTCCAGGGGTCTCAAGGATTCACTGTATGAGGAATGTTTCTCTGCCTACCTCCCTTCATCCTGGATTCTTAATCCCCAGCACCCAGTAACAAGGCTCAGAGCAAGGTAAATCTCAAAAAAGCTTGTTTTGTTGAATTTCCCCCAGAGATTTGGGTCTATCACATTAAAACCTATGGCCCAGAAATGAGACATTGAATTGTGTTGCCATCCCTTAGAGGTGGACAAGTCCCCTGTCTCAAGCCTCAATTTCCCAAAAATGAAAATGATAATATAGTTGACCTACCTTGAAGAGAGAAAGTTTTAAGGTCAAATGAAATACTCTATGTCTAGAGTTTAGCACAATACCTGGAATGAGGTTATCTCCCTAAAAAACAAAAGCAATAACAAAACAAACAAAAGAATAAACAAAAAACCCAGATATTTATTTGAAGAGAAAAAAAGTCTCAACTTAAATTCAGAATGGGACATGAACTGGAATCGATGCTTGTAGTTCCTAGGATGACCACGCGAGGGAAGCCTCCTGGAGGACTAACTCCGCTGTGCTAAAGCACCTGCTGGGGACCCAGATGGCAGGGCTGGGGTTTCCGGGACTTCCCAGTCCTTGAACAGGTGGATGTTGGTCCGGGCGCCTTGGGAGAAGCCTCGGCGATATGTTCGGTCTAGATTCCCACAGTCCCTTCGAGGCTTGCGGAAGGGCTAACGGGCCACAGCCGGCAGAGTGGCGGGCAACAGGGATTTATGCCGTCCAGTTTGTGATTTGTCTTTGAAATCGATTATGGTCAATTCTTTTTTTTTTTAATATTTATTTTTTAGTTTTCGGCGGACACAACATCTTTGTACGTGGTGCTGAGGATCGAACCCAGGCTGCCCGCATGCCAGGCGAGTGTGCTACCACTTGAGCCATATCCCCAGCCCGATTATGGTTAATTCTTGTGTATGAAAGTTTTTACAGTCACACTTATTGCCTGGTTTCTGGGGGTTTCATCATACTTAGAACATCTTTTCCATCTTATCAAAATATTTACTGAGGGCTGGGGTTGTGGCTCAGTGGTAGAGCACTTGCCTAGCACGTGTGAGGCATTGGGTTCGATTCTCAGCACCACATATAAATAAAATAAAGGTCCACTGACAAATAAGAAGGGAGTAGAGGGAATATGTGGTGAATAAGAACGCAGGAGAAACTTTGAAAAATTTTTACTAATTCTTTTTTTCTGGTCTATTATGGTGTTATTATCTAAATATGTGCTCCCCCTGGAATTTATTTAGCTGTAGATAAGGACATAATTTTCTTCTGTTTCCTCAAATGATTTGGTAGTTATTCCGCCCATCGTTGAAAGGCCTATCTTTCCCACATTTGTCAGAAATTCTAGTTTCATTATACACCATATTCCCATGGGTGGGTGGGTCACTTTTATTTATTTATTGTACAAACTTATGGGTACTGTGTCATATATAGTGTAATGATCAAATCAGGATAGTTAACATTTGCCTCTCCTTAAACAGTTTCTTAAAATTTTTGATTAACATCTAATAAACATATTTATTTATGCAGTCACAGTGTGGCATTTCAGTACAGTTCAAACATGTACTGACCAAAGCAGAGTAACTGTTTCCATCTCCGTAATGTTACTTTGTGTTTGGGACCCTCCACTTCCTCTCTTCTAGTATCCATAATATTGATAATAGGTTGAGTTAGGGGGGTAACTCTGTCGTGGAATGCTTGCCTAGCAAACATGAGGCCCTGGGTTTGAACTGCAGCACAGAAAAATATGTGTATAATGGTAGTATTAGTGGTAGTGATAGGTTATTGTGAACTACAGTCATTGCTCATTCATTTCTGTACTTCTTTTGTTCTATTGATCTGCCTAGTCCTGCTTCAGTACTGTACTGTTTTAATTACGTTGACTTTATAATATGTTTTCTTTAAATTTTGTTTTAGATGTTGATGGACCTTTATTTTATTCATTTATTTATATGTGGTGCTGAGAATCGAACCCAGTGCCTCACACATGCTAGGTAAGCACTCTACTTCTGAGTCATAACCCCAGCCCCTGTAATATATTTTGATATCAGATAAGGCAAGACCTTTTTCTTTTCTTTTTTTAAAAATATATTTAGTTAAAAAAAAAATATATATATATATTTAGTTGTCAATGAATCTTTATTTAATTAATTAATTTATATGTGGTGCTGAGAATTGAACCCAGTGCCTCACACGTGTCAGGCAATTGCTCTACCACTGAGCCACAACCCCAGCCCAAAGCAAGACTTTTTTCTTTATTTTTTCTAGGTGTTTTTTGTTGTTGTTGCTTTTGTTTGATACTGGATATTAAACCAGGGTCTTGCACAAGGTAGACAAGTGGCTGTACCACTGAGCTATAAACTAAGCCCTTTTAAATTTTTATTTTGAGACTATGCTTTGCTAAGTTGCCCAAGCTACCTCTAACTTATGGTCTTCCTGACACACCTCCCAAGCAGCTGGGATTGCAGGTATGTGCCATCACACCCAGCTAAGATTTTTTTTTTTATTTCTGCATATTAATTTTTGCATGTACACTTAAGAATCAATCCCCTCTCCATCTAACCCTTCTGAAAGCCCATATGGAACTTTGGAGTCTCTGAAATTATATGAAAAATGTACATTTGAACTCTCTCTTTGGAGAGAAAATCTAAAATTTTCATCAGGTGTGCAAAGGAATCATGATTCTATAGAGAGCACCTGATTTGCATGTCTCTTTGACAGGGGCAAGGTAAAAGCACAAAGGAAGCCTGATTTTCTCTTCTCCCGGTCCTCACAAGCTCTGCTTTTCCTATCTTCACCTCTTCCCTGGCCCTCATCTTGCCTCCCCTAACCTAGTCCCCTTCCTTCCAGAGCAATTGTTCTGCCAGACCGGCACACTCACAAGCCTACATTGCGCTTCACTGCCAGAACCCCCACCCGCCTGGTCCCCCAGCCTGCAGCCCCCTCCCCACGTCCACTCCCAGGCGAGCAAGCCCTAGTTCTAGACTAGGATTGATGTGGATTAGATGATAACATTGAAATTAATAACTAGATAAAATCATGAGTCTCAGCTTCACCTCTGACCAGCTTGGGACCCAGCTTTAGGCTCTTCACTTTGCTGAACCTTGGTTGACCCTTCTCCCAAATCAGATAAGTCTGAGTTTCATCCCAGTCCCCAGGAGGTCCTTTAACTTCAATAATTTCCCTTGTACATCCCACCTCCCACTCCCCATTCACATTTAATTTGTATCCTCAGTAGGATGAATACTTGCTTTACCTGCTCCAACAAATTTTAATAATATTATATTTCTAGGGGAAAAAAGTAGTAGAATTTCATGAAAATAGAAGGGAAAGTAATGGAGTAGAGGAAGGGGATGGGCGAGAGAGGTGGGGAGAGAAGGGAGGTTCTAGGAAGAGATTGACCAAATTATGTTATGTGCATGTCCAAACATGTCACAGTGGATCCCACTGTGCACAATTATTACACATCAATAAAAAGGTTTTTTAAAAATACTGTCCTTCTAGCTGGGCATAGTGGCACACACCTGCAATCCCAGTGGCTTGAGAGCCTGGGGCAGGAGGATGGCAAGTCCAAAGCCAGCCTCAGCAATTTAGCAAGGCCCTAAGCAACTTAGTGAAACCCTGTCTCAAAAAAAAAAAAAAAAAAAAAAGGCAGGATGAGGCCTCTAGGGATGTGGCTCAATGGTTAAGTGCCCCTGGGTTCAATCCCCAGGACCAATAATGATAATAATAATACGGTCCTTCTTAGAATGAGTGAAATTAAAAACACCAAACTGAATTGTTCTAAGCAAGCTCAAACACATGCTCCTCAAGTCCCAAGCTGCTAAGGAACATGGATTCAGGGTATCCACTTTGGAGTTCATTTAGGCAGTTGCCACGCCCTAGAATAGGGTTTCTCAGCCCTGGTACTATTGACATTTTGGACCTGATAGTTCTTTGTTTGGTGGCTGGCCTGTACAGGATGTTTGACTGCATCCAGGGTCTCTTCTGAGAGATTCCCCTAGGTTGTGAAAAACAAAAATGTCTCCAGACAATGTCAAAAGTCCCCTGAGGGGGTGTGAAATGTCTAGTTGAAAATTACAGTCCTAGAAGGAATAGGGAGGGCGGGTGAAGGAGGTTAACTTAGGTCACGGGAAGGATACTCTGTCCTCCCTTACCCTCTGTCAGAAAGGCACATTGTATTCTTTTTCTTCACAGGCACTTGGGCAAGTCTTTCCTTCTCTCTGAGCTTCAGTTTTTTCATCTGTAAAATGGACTTGGTATTTATTTGTAAGTTGTTTCCCCTTCTTTCACCATCTGACATTCCTGGATCCAGTTCAGGGTAGAGCAGGAGCAACTCGGTGCCAGTGAGGTCCTGGGAGTTGCCTCAAAGAGCAAGAAGGATGGGAAAAAAATAGATGGCAGGGGTGGTGGAGGAGAGGAATGGCCGGCAGAAGGTAAGGAGCATCCTAGAGACAGGGAAAAGCCTGAGGCATTCCCAGACCCTGCTGCTTCCAGGTACACCCCTTCAAGGCCTCAACAACCCCCGTGGCCCCCAACCAGACAAATCCAGACCCTCCCTATTCCTTAGGCCCTGCCCACCACCAGCCCCAGCGCACTGGCCCCGCCCCGTCTCTGTGGCCCCTCCCACCAACCAGAGGCTCCGCCCTCAGCAAGCCCCGCCTCCCTCTTCGCCTCCCGCCAGCCCGGGCTCGGGCTTTGCACCCGGCGGCGTCTGAGAACGGTGGCGGGTGCTGAGCCGGCAGCGCAGGCGGGCGGAGCGGAGCTGCCTGGCCCGGTGGCGGGCGATGCCCCCGTGAACCTCTCTCGTCGCCCCTCCCCGCCCCGCGTCCCTACCCTCTCAAAGTCCGCGCCCGCCAGGGGCCGGGCCGCGCCTACCGCCGGGTCCGCGGGGCGGGGTCCCGGGGAACACCTGCCCCGCCTTGCGGAGCTGCCACGGCCTGCGGAGCCCCTTGCCTGTCTGGACTCCGGCCCCACCTCGGGGTAAGTCAGTAGGCCTTGCTCGCCTGGGAGTGGACGTGGGGAGGGGGCTGCAGGCTGGGGGACCACGCGGATGGGGGTTCTGGCGGTGAAGCGCAACGTAGGCTTGTGAGTGTGCCGGTTTGGGGGGCGGGGGCTCAGGGATGAGCACAGCGAGTGTGACGGCTCTGGGGCGGGGGCTGAGGTATAAGAGGGGGACGTGGGGTGATTGAGGAAGCGGGGAAAATGGGGTAGGGGGCCCCAGAGTCTTGAGTTCTTTGCTGATGCTCAGAGCACCTGGGGCCCTAGGTCTTCAACAGCATTGCCTCGCTTGACATTTTTGGAAAGTGCTTAAAATTCCTCTTGGAAAGGGAACTGGAAGGCAGCCTACCTTTCTCCCTCCTGCCTGTGCCCTGGTTGGGAAGCGGCCACTTTTTCTTCCCAACGTGACACCATTATGGTGCTCCTAGGACCCCCCCTCTCCTGCCATCCCATGAAAGAAAGGGTGGTACTCACTCCAGTCTCAAGTGGGAAGAGGGGCTTCTGGGAAGCTCGGAAAGACATTTGGCCAGTAGAACCGTGGGGAGCCAGGGTTCAAGGAGGCTTGACAAGACCCTTGGTGGGCAACTTGTGTACCTCTTGGTCCCAGGAAGGATATCTCCATGCTTGGCTTCCTGACTGCCTGGAACTCATGCCCCCATCACCTTCTCTAGACAACTGAGTCCTGAGGAGTGTTTCTTTCCAGGATTCTGGGCCTGGAAACTCAGGAAGGGCTCATAACTCTTGTGATCCTAGCCTGGGATTGGCAATGCCATACCTAAGGGCAGAGAGCAAGGGACACTGGCTGGCATTGCCACCTGAGGGCTGTTTGAATGTGGCCCTTTGGGGATTTGGAACCTGGTTGAATGTCAGTGTTCAACCCTAGCCCCAGATGCGTTGTCTGGGTGTGGAGAAGAAGGCTGCTACACCTTTGGTCCCATCCTACCCAGGATTTCTCAGGTCTGAGGTTCTTGGGTTTGGGTTCTGAACAATGGGGGGGAAGGTCTCTCTGGGTTGGGCTTGGTCACCAAGGGGTTAACAAGCCATTCCCATAGTTGCTGTCAGCCACCAATTAGTCTGTAATCATACAGCTGCCAACATCCCTAGGGCAAGTGGGCAGCCTAATGGGGCATTCTTTGGTTGGTCAGGGGCCTGCTGGGAAGGGGACCCATACAACCTGTGCTTAAACCAAGCACCAGGTCTTTTGGAATTTGCTTGGGGCCCACACATCCATTCCCTGTCCTCAGCGCGCAGCTACCTGGCTTAAGGGACTTCCTGGGGTTTTACACTTACCTGACCCTGTGCAGAGTATGAAGCCCAGAGTTGGTTAAACTTGGCTTCAAACATAGGCTCTGCCACTTTCTAGCTGTGTGGTATTAAATAAATCACTTCCCCTCTCTGAGCCTCTTTCAATAAAAAAGACCCACCTACTCAGAGGAGTAAATGAAATGGTAGATTTAGGTCTTAGCCCAGTGCCTGGCACTCAGGACAGCTCAGTAGATAACTGCTGAACTCATGAGTAAATCCTTTGCCAAGCACTTGCTGGGGCAGGTGTTCAAGAGCCAGGTGCTGACGACTCAGCAGGGGCCATGCTCCCTTCCCTGAGGACATGTGGTCTCTGTCACTGTCTTAACTGTTTTCACTCCCTCTTGCTCAACAACACTTCTGGTCTCTGGATGGACATTAATTGAATTTACTCTGCAGAGCCCAGGCCTGAGGCTGCTACTCTCTGGGCTCCTCCTCTCCTTGCCCAGGTGCTGGGCTCTTTGGGGTTCTGTCAGGGGTCTGGGTGATGTCTGCAGCAGTAACAGCAGCTGGCCCTTTAAGGAGACAAGAAAACAATTATCCGGTCTGGGCATTGCATCAGCTGGAGCCTGGAGGGTCCCTGGGGAAGGAGGGGCAGGCTGGTGGTTGATTTCATTAGTGCCATGTGAGAACTCTCACCTGAGTCTGCCCCACTCCCCAGCGCAGCCTTCTCCCCCAGGCAACAGTGGGCCCAGGGCCTTTCCCACCCCAGGAGCCCCACCTTAGGGACTCTCTGTGCACACCCACCCAAGTCATGGGCCCTGACAGAGGGGGTGTAGGGAAGTGTCTCTTGCACTGGCCTTTTGCTGACTAGCAGTCTCCCCTGCTCGCGTTCTGCTGACTTGGGGTACACAGTGTATCTTCTGTGCTGGCATTTTGCTGACAGTGGGGTGGGTGCCTCCCCCATTAGTATTTGGCTGACCTGGGGGTGTATTTGACCTCCCACACTGGCATTCTGTTGATGTTGGAGAGGGGCGACTTCAGTGCTGGCCCCTTCCACACTGGTAGACTGCTGTCCTGACAGAGGAGCTCTGTGGGCTGGGATGTGCAGACTGACGGTGTGGGTTAGAAACTGCTCTCTGGGTGGGGGTAAGGTGGCTGGCAGTGGTGAGTCACAGGGGTGTGTGGTCTGGGGCACAGAAGAGACAAAGTACTTGAGCATCAGACAGCCGGGTTCAGATCCTCTGTCCTCCATTTGGAACCTGTTACCACTTCACTCTGTGGCCTCAACTCTTGAGTCTCCATCCCCTCCAGCAAGTAGGAATATTTTGTACCTATACTGGCCCACCCCATCTGGAAAGTGGTGAGGATTCAGTGTAGGAAGTGGTCATACAGGACTGAGCCCAGGCCTGGCCCCTACTCTACGATAGTGATTCCCTTTCCTTTGCAAGTTTGGGCTCTTCACACATTGAGCACAAGATACCCAGACAAGGAAAGGAGGGTCATGGAGGAGGGGTGAGAAGAAACAGTGCAAGGCCCTCCTGCCTGTGTTGCAGGAAGATGCATTCAATTCACCGTGTTCTGAGGATATACCAAGCTCTAAGAGCCAAATAGCCCCTGCCCACCTGGAGCCAACATTCTAGTAGTATCATGACCCCCAGCAGGTAACTATACACATTTGACAAGTGTTGAAAGGAGGGACTCAAGGAGGCTCCAGAACCCATTACTGGAGGTGACAGGTTCTCTTACTTTCTGGGTTCTAGGAAGGGTTCCTGGAGAGGGTGGCATCTTAGTCAAGGCATGAAATATGCCAATGAGTTGAGGGCGTAAAGAAGCAAGAAGCGAGGGAACAGTATGTCTGGGGACCTGGTAATGGTGGCAACAGGCTTGGTGTGGTGGGCAGGGGGAGGTGTAGGCAGGCCCAGGGACAGCCAGGCCAGACCTCCTTGGTCTAGTAGGATACTGGGGACTTGGGGATTTGTCTTGAGGCCAGTGGCAGCCCCTACAGGGTTTTAAGCAGGGTGGGCGGGATCAGATCTCCAGGGTATGGACTGGGCTGTGTGGCCCCGGCTGTGTGGGCCCAGGCAGAGCCTCTCTCAAGAGACAGTTTGCCTTCTGCCTTGGCACCTAGGGAGTGGTTGTTTATGTGGCTTGCCTCAGCAGGGAGAGGGCCAGTCCTAGTCCCTCAAGCTCCCTCTCTCTGGGCTGAGCTGCATCTCAGCCTTGTTGACAAAGTTCAGCCCTTGGGGCCAGGTTTTCCCAACCTCCATGGGGAACTAGAAGGGCAAGAGGCAGGGCTTTGGCACCAGACGGGCCTGTGTTCACATCCTGGCTCTGTAGTCCATGAGGAAGGCACACCCTGTCTCTGTACCTCAGTGTTCTCAACTGTAAGGTGGGGTTGATATCAGTCTGTCTATGGGAAGGATAAAATGAAATTCTAGATGGAAATCACAAAGCCCTATCTCAGTGTCTGCTGGCATTTTTTACTCTATTGCATGGGGGCTGGCACCTACTGTAGACCATGCCCAGAGCTGGTTAGGATTTGGGAGCAGGGTGGGTTTTAAAAGTCCAATTTCTTAAAACAGAAGGGAGATTTTTGGAGTAGAAGAAGGGGATTAGGGAGAAGACATGGGAAAAGGGAGAACTTTGGATGAAACTGACCAAATTAGGCTATATACTTGGATGAATATACCACAGAAAATTCCACCTTTTTATATATCTGTGAACCACCAATTAAAACAACAATAAATAAGTAGAAGGAAGACCAGTAGAAGAGAGGAAGGGGGACAGTCAGAGGGAGGAGAAAGGGAAAGTGGAAGTACTGGGGACTATATTGGAGAAAAATGTATTTCATGCATGTATGAATATATCAAAATGAACACCACTATTATGTGTAACTATAATGCACTAATAAAAACATTAAAAAAGAGTCCATGGTCACACTGGGCTCTGAAGGACCCCATACTTGGTTTAATTTTCTGCTGTCACCATCTTGAATTTCTTAATTTTGAACAGAAGTTCTTGCACTTTGATTTAGCACTGGGCCCTGCATATTATATAGCCCACAAATCGAGGCGGGATAGGAATAGACAGGGAGAAACATAGACCTGCAAATAGTTCCCAAGTAGAGGACAGGAAAGGTGGAGGGCATGACTAACTGCCTGAAGGTGGGTGGGATGTTAATCATAGTAACATTTACTTAGTGCTTACTGTGTGCTGGTGCTTTGGTAGCACTTTGCATACTCATTTTCAAGCAGCCCTATGAGGTGGGTATTATTATCATTTCCATTGTATAGATGAGGAAACTGAAGTTATTTGGCTAAAGGTTGCCACATAGTTGTCAAGTGACAGAGCTGGAATTCAAAGTCAGGTTATTGAGCTGCTGAGGTAATGCCTGGACCAGGGATGTTTTCACCTAGGAGGAGGGACTACAGAGTGAAGCCTGAAGGAGAACTTGGCTTTGCTCAGTGGGAAGAAGGTGCAGAGGAGATGGAGGGTGTTCTCAGATGAGAAGTGTCTGTGCAGGGCAGGGGGTGGTTAGGGATGCTGCTTGGCCAAGAATGGGAGCTAAAGCCAAGACACCAGGTGCTGAGATAGGTAACTTTTGGATTTCATAGTTTTGATTTTCCAAGCTTAGAGCCCTAGTCCCACTGCTACTATGGGCTCTTTAGAGCTGCACCGCCCCCCGCCACTTTTTTTTTTTAACCACATTGTTTTCTCTGCCATCCCCCTCTTTGCCA